CTATACTATACTATACTAGACTATGCTGCTGCTCTAACGTTACTATCATCTTACTGCAATATGTCTCTAATATTGAAAATATTACCAAAATATTGTAAACCCTGTAAACCCTAAACCGTGCGGCCATGGAAAAAGCCTCGACAGAGCCCAGCTCCAGAAATTGCATCCGGCGCACGCTTCATGGCCATCATCACAAAGCCTCGGGTTCGTGGGGTAACGCCCGTGTCAGAAAAACGAGTCGAAAACGGCAAACACTGGCAAACACCAATTCAGAAAACCAAGAGGACTGAGTCAGAAAGCCGGGAGGCATGAGTCGGAGAACAAGGGGTGCGCGAGTCGGAGAGCAAGGCTGGGGAGTGAAAACGGCACATAGGTGATCAAAACCTAAGCCCTCAACACTAAATGCCCTAAACTTTATGTTAATCGCACGACCCTAAACCCCAAACTTTTGAACCCTAAACTTTGACCTTAAGCCGCAAAAGCCCTACACCCGAAACTCTCAAGCACAGAATCCGAATAACAGGCCTTCCTACGACGGGCTAACTGAAGCTCTGTGCGCTTCCGGTTGGGGGGCTTTCGTTGAAGGACCATTCAGCAGGGGTAGGGCAAGAATCAGTCGCAAAACGACTATGGCTGAAGGAGTGCAACGATTGTCTGACCCTTGCATGCAATTGATGCGCGATGCTGGCGCCCCCTCCACCTGCTTAAAGTAGTTGGCATGGCGCGACTGCTCGGAGAATGCTACACGTGCCAAGCAGGCAGCACCTCTCAAACTCTGCATGCCAAACTGTTTGTCTGGCTTGCTTACCTACTGTCTAAACGAACTGACAACACAATGCACGGCTGAACTGCTATACTCTATTTGTCTTGCGGCGCTTAGCAGATGTGCAAAACCTTCTGCTCACATGCGTGCCGGCAGAGCCACTTCGACAAAAACTTCCACAGGCGGACAACCTGCGAAGACTTGGTCGTGCATGCGGCCATTGGAAGCAAGGGGAGCTGCGGTACCTCCCGTCCTTCCGAAGGGGAAATTTTAGAGGCTAACCAAAATACTCGGCCACCTGGAAGCAAGGGGAGCTGCGGTACCTACCGTCCTTCCGAAGAGGCTAACCAAAATACCCGCCACCGGCTTCTTCCACGTTCACTGCGCCAGCTGCAGGGTGCTAACTGCACCTGAGCGGCGATTACAACCTGGCTTGTGCAGCGGCATCAACCAAAGCCTCTGCGCATCTCCGAGGTCGGGAAACGTGACGTCGATGCTGGCCATGTTGCCCGGAGCCAATTGGAGGAACACGGCCGCCGAGGGCACCCTGATCTGCTTCTGACCAAAGCAATAGAACCTCTGACTGAAGACGGCGTCGCCGTTGACCAAACGAGAGTCTATGCCAGCAGTGTGAGCAATGTGTGTGGGGCCTTCTTCGGCTTTCTGCCGCATGTCCTGGCCCTCCAACTTTTGCAAAAGTGGAACAACGGCAGGGAAGCGCCTCGATCAGTGCCTTGGTGGCAATGTTTGCTGGCAGCTCCTCCTCGCGCCAGAGAGCAGCGACCACAGACCGTGCGGAGACTCTGGGCACCTCAGAACATCCTCCTGAATACACTTGGCTAGGTCCACCTGGTCGTGTTGAACCAATTTGGTAACCAAGGACTCCAGAAGCAAAGAAACAAGCGGGGCATGGAATTCCAATGCTGTTCCAGCCAGCCGCACATAGGCGGTCACACTTTTCTTCGCTCGCGGCTCGACGGTGGACATATGTTTGATCTCCTTGAAGTCCTGTTGCAGGCTGCGCAAGATGACCGTGCCCCCTCGGAGCATCGACATCAATGCCGTCGGAGAGGCGATGTCCTCTGCAACATGAACGTGGTGAATGAGCCTTTTAGAAAGGGCACCTGGGCAAACATGGGCAAACATGGCACGCAGCACGACCTCTGGGGCATCTCTGCAGGCGCTTGGCCGCACAGCGCGAAAACCAAGGGCGAACACCCAGTCCACGTTTGCTGGCGGTGGTCCCAGCAGGGTCTGCCAGCGCAAAAGCCAGGACATCGTGGTCGGCGACGAGGACCTTCACCACGGACTGGGCAATCAAACAGCCTTTTCCGTCATAGCCCTGATATGCCCTGATTCTGCAAGCAGTCCTGCAAAGTCTGCACGAAGACGGTGTCGTGAAAGCAAACATTCCAGAAGATGTCGTAGGAAGAGCTATCCTCGGCCAAGCTCCCACCAAAGGAAATTAGAACAAAGTCCTTCCACGTGGCACTGTCCACAGAGTCGGGCGGAGACAAACGAATGGAAGCTCGCCAGTGCCGCGCTCGTGCACGACGAAGCTGGCGAAGCGATTTCATAGCTCCCTCGTGGACATCTTCGTGGATCAAAGCAGCGGGGGGCTCTGAGCTTAAGGTGTCCAGGGTCCCAGAAATGCGACACGGGCCCCAGCATCTTCTGCAAAGAGCGCCACACTGAGTCGGGATTCTTAGCCCCAGCAAAAGTCTGTACGCGGCCAGGGACACGTCGTGCCAGACACGTGGCAAAATCTGCACAAGGCCACGGGTAAGGGTAATGAAATACAGTTGCGGCGAGTTGCGGATGTCTGCAAACGAGCGGTTTCTATTCAAGACATGTGGCAAAATCTGCACAAGGCCACAGATAAAGCAAATCGGTGTACAGGCAGCATCCGCACAACAAAAATTAAGCAACTGGACGAGGTAGTTGTACTAGAAATAACCCGGACCTTGATGTCACAATGTCAATGTCACAATGTCAATGTCACAAATCCAGCAGTTTCGGGGCGAGGCTGCAGGACAGGAGTTACAGTTGCGGCGAGTTACGGATGTCTGCAAACGAGCGGCTTCTGTGAAAGCCTGCAGTCGACAAGCTGCCTGCTGCCAGCCAGCAGTGGGCCACCCTGATCTCAACACATTAAACACAGAACCAAACTAGCAGCCCAGCTCTACAGGCACACCGCCTTGGGCGTGCGGTGGCCATCCTGGGACGCTGATGCTGGCATACTGTCGGGACCCCGCTTCCGATCGAACTCAGCCGAAGAAGAAGCCGACGACGTCCTCGGAGTCGTCTGAGACGCAAGCCATCTGCGAAGGAGAAGGTGCGCAAGTGCTCCATTCGGGCCGCTCTTGTCCCGAAGAGCGGACACAGCCTTGCCGATCCCCGTCCACTTGGCCTCGTCGCAACCGATTTTCTTGTGCACGACTGCGCAGAGGGCGTGAAAGACGACAGCGACTTTCATGCTGGCGAGGTCCTCCACAATCCCACCAACATATCTTCACGACGGGTGGAATCCTGGGACGTAGGCTTCTGCGGACTGTCGAACATAGACAAGTCCACATGAGCCTTGCTTTTGCGCAAGGCGGTTTTCAAAGAGGCAGCATGTGCGGCATCCACCAAAGTAGTCCAAGCGGAAAGGGATTTCCCAGCTTACGAAAACTATTCGAGAACTAGCAGGGCGCAGGAGAGTGTGCAACTTACAAGAAATTCTCTAAGGAACGTCAGCGACGCTTGCTCTGCCCGAGTCCAGACGAAGCAGCGCGATGAAGCGGTCCAAGGCACGGGCAGTGATGGTCGTGTCCGGTTTGTACAGTGGCCAGAGGTAGACCGAGTCTGGCTGGTTTTCGACCCAGGCTCTTAGCCTGGTTTTCTATCTGGGGGGTCCGTGTCTGCTTTCGACTTGGGGGTTCTCACTGTTTTCGACACGGGGCCGCCTAGTTCTCGACTCGGCAGCCCGGACTTGAAAGCACTTTCGCCGACTTGACAGTTACTCTCTAAAAAACCCCTAAAGTTCTTGGAGCCCTGCCGCAAGAATAAAAAAAAGCTGCAGAATCTTTCTCAAAGAAACACAACCAGAGTTCACCTACGGCAAGCAGCTTCTGGACTGGTCACGCAAATTACTCCGAGCCTCAAACGACAGAAACGCACAACCGAAGCCTCAAGGCACCCCCTACGGTTTAGGATATATACGGTTCAAGGCTCATTATATAGGCCTCTTGCGGGTTTAGAGAACCCGCTAAAGCAGAGTCCAGGGAACGTGCGTTGCCTCGGATCGCGGGTGCCGCGTGCTGAAGGGCCAAGCCCTCTTGGCGTATGGCAAGGTTCACCTGGGTTTAGAGGTTATAGGGCATCCTGAGAAGGTTTAGGGATTTTAATGGTTTAGGCTTACTTTGGGGCTGAGGGGGTTCGGGATTTGGGGGGCTTTGGGCTTGAGGGGTTCAGCGCCAAAGTCTCCCACAGAGCCCCGAACTTCAAGATCCCAAAACCCTAAACCCTAAACCCTCTAAACCCTCTAAACCCTAGACCCCTGAACCCCTAAACCCTAAACCCCCAAAACCCTAAACCCTCTAAACCCTGAAGTTCAAGACTCGACTTTAAAGGCCAGGCACCAAATCCTCGTTGCCCTTCAGCCGCAGGGAAGCGAACTCCATGGCCCGCCATGTCCTGAGCTCGAGCCATGCGATGGCCCTTAGGGTTTAGGGTTTAGGGTTCATAGGGGGTTTAGGGTTTAGGGTTTAGGGTTTTTTTGGGGGTTTAGGGTTTAGGGTGCGACGGCTGTCGCACTTGTGATGTTGGCGTTTGTGACTGCGATTGTAGAGATGAGAGCAGATGCCATGAAATAGAAGTCGGAGCACCGACAGCAGCAGGGATATCATTCGGTAGTGGAACCAGAGGCAGACGAGGTGGCAATCAGAGTCAGGTTCTAGGCAATGAAGAAGCAGGAGAATCATATAATATACTATAATATAATATAATTTACTATAATTTAATTTAATTTACTTTAAATAAAATATACTATAATATAATATGATTGCCGCTCAAACTGCTGCGCCACGGCGTGGAAGACGATCTCGTCGTCATCTCGGAGTTCCTCCGTGGCGTAGCGGAGGACGGAGCCTTCCTGGCCCCAAAAACCCCGGAGCTCCAGCGCTGTTCTGTATAGTATAATATACTAGAATATACGATAATATACTATAATATACTATAATAATATTACTGTAAAGGCAGGGCCTTTTTTCGCAAAAGGGTGCAGGCTTTAGACTTTAGGGTTTCTTCTGTCGGATTTAGGCGTAGGCTTTTGGGTCTGCGGCTTTGCTCTACTTCCACTTATGACCCTGAGGGTCGACAGCGAACCACCAAAGCCGTGAACTGTAAGGCGCTGCAAGCTCCGCTGTCACTCCGCTGTCGCCTGCCGCACAGCCTTCAACATCACCGGAGCATTCCCGTTAAGCCTGCCGGAGCTTGGGACAGATGGAGGTTCCGACTCGCAGCGGAATGCTTTGCTTGATTATTTACGCGCGGCTTACAGTGACTTCTTATCAAGTTCGAATAGCCCCATGCCCACAAGCCACAGTCTTTCGGGTATCTCTGGTCTTCTGCTCTACGGCATTGACATTCAGGGCCACAACTTGGCAATCGCCAGCAGAACAATCAGAGTACCGGTCCGGGCGGTCTTGTCAGCATACGTAGTGATGGCGATTTAGTGTGATGCTGCGCATGCTAATGCCAATGCCAAGGTAGTGGCAGAGTAGCAGTAGCAGTAGCAGGAGCAGTAGCAGTAGCAGTAGCAGTAGCAGAAGTAGCCGCACCAGCAAAAGCTAGATAGAAACGGTACCAGCAAAGAGACGAGCTTGCAGCCCCGAACCATGTGACCCTGCAGACACAGAAACAGGGCAGCTCTGGTTTGCTAAGCTCCAGAGATTGTCCAACCAGACCTGGAGAACTAGACCTAGTTAACAGCCCGAGCCGGAAGACCTTCAATCGAGCATGTATGAGCATCGGAGCACCTTTCGTCCCGCACGATCTGGGGATTGCTCTCAATCAGCTTGGACCTGTAGAAGGGAGAAGTAGAAAGTTGGACGCGGCTTTTGTTGCGAGAATCCTTTCCAGTCGGTGTTACACCTTTGGATTTTTTTACTTCTTTTCAGGATACTTGAATCCACGTGCATACATCCGGCTACCAGGCTACCATCGACCATGGCGTCCTTCCGCATCAACGAAGGCCCCAGTTGAGCTCAGAAGCCGGGTGTGCATCACTGGCTAAGAAGGGACCATTGAGATCCTGGCAGGTCGTCTGTCGGACCCTGATAGAAATGGTCCATGTACCTTAGATGTAGCATGATGCACCTCCCTGCCATGCTGCGTCCAGTCCCGTCTTCCCTCTTCAGAGTCACCTCGCACGATGTCCACATCACAGCAGCCCCTGTCCCAGAAATCCTCGCACTTGCAAAGACCACGTTAAGGCACAAAGAGATGGCTCGCCAGTCCTGGCGGTTCGAAGGAGCTTGCGTGGGAGAAAGAGACCTACGACCAGGCCTCAAGAACTAAACATCAACTTCTCCAGCTGCTGTTGGCCATCTTTGTACGTCCCAAGATCCCCCAAGTACTTACGAGCACGTACATCTCAGAGGTTTTGTTTCGAATAAGGCAGCTATGTCCAAGCTGCATCGACACTTCCGGGCGAAAAATCGGGCCTGCTTGACAGCTTCCACGATGGACGCAGCGTTGACGTTCGCTGCATATCTGGGGCAGTTCTCCAACTTTGAGGGAGCACGATACCATCATAATCACCACACTACTAGCTGAGATGATCAAGAGAATGGCCAGGAAGGCTTCAGGAATGGGGGGCCAAGACAGACCACACGAAAGAGAACACGACAGAAGGCAAACACTAACCAAAAAGAGCACGTTTAGGGCTGGCTCCAGGGTTAGTGATTTGGAAGCTGATTGCTTCGTGCTGACAGATGAGGTGTCTCCCCAGCCGAAGTGGTCTGACACTACACAAAGCTGTAGAGCTGGACTAGACCAGAAGGAAACAAGACTAAGACTGCACATAGTTCGATTTCTATGTATGAATATCTGGATGGATATATATATATGTATATATATACATTAATGAACAAATAAACAAATATAAGTATAAAAAGAAATAAATAAATATATATATATATATGCTATATGCATTAAGAAAAATATATGTATGTATGTATGTATGTATGTATGTATGTATGTATGTATATATATATATATATCTGTGTGTGTGTGTGTGGAGGGGGTCCTTTATGCATAATGTGACCCGTTGGTTTGCGTGATGCTAATATACCATAAACCGAAGGCACGTGCAAACTCATTCATATATCTATCTGTCCATATATATATATATGTACACGAATACACCGTACAATCAGCAGCGCATGCGTCCCAGCTGCTCCACCGCCTTCCAGCTTCTGCGAACGGCCTCCTCCACAATCTCCGGCTCCTCGGGCTGGCGGAAATTACTGGGGGGTTTAAGGGTTTATGGCTTTAGGGGTTTAGGGTTTAGGGCCTTTAGGGGTTTAGGGGTTTAGGGTTTAGGGGTGCAGGAGGTTAAGAGTTTAGGGTTTTTAGGGTTTGGGGGTTTGGGGGTTTAGGGGTTTAAGGGTTTAGGGGTTTAGGGTGTAGGGTTTGGGTTTGAGGAGACTTCTGTGGGCTTTGAAATTCGAAAGCTACCTTAGTTTGCAGGTCGAGCGTGTAACTTTCGGAGCGTCACACCACGAAGGACGAGAAGTGAACAAGCTTAGCACCAAGGAACGATTTCACAGCCGTACATACCTGAAAAACTGAACCACCCCAAACGCTAAACCCCTAAACCCTAAACCCTATTAAGGCTCCGGGGCTTTGCCATTTTGCCCCGAGGGTCGCTTCTAACCTTCTTTGTGCCGCAGGAGAGCACCTTCGGTGAGGGCTCAGGGTTTAGGAGTTTAGAGAATGACAACGCCAATAACCATAGTAACAATAAGAATAAGCGTACAAATACTAACAAGAATAACAACTTTCGGAGCTCAGGGATGTCGGTTTCGGACATAGGGGTTTTTGTCATGGCATTTCCGGTGGTTTCGGGGATGCGTGGCTTCCGCGTTTTTCGGGAACTTCGGGGTTGAGGTAGAGGAATGCTTTTGGGCTCGTTTGGGCTGAAAAGTGGCGGAAGAGGGTGCAAGAGATGGTCGGATCAGCGGAGGGCGTTCAAAGAGAACTTCCATGGACGCCATGAGAGTCCCGAACCGCTCATGGAGAATGAGCACCCCACTTTGCAAAACACCGGGATCGCAGCGTTACTTGCTCGTTATGATTGGAGATGCATGCAGGAAAGACCTGGGCATCCTGAAGCAGAGAGGCCTCCACGTTCTGCTTCACCGCTGCCAGCATCACCTGCAAGACTTTACACTGGGATTTTGGGGCTAAGTCCAGCGCACATTAGAGCCACGGTCAAACTTACTGGCTTGGCGAAGGGACATTGATCTTTGGGTTATGGTTTTCTGTGGGTCTCGCATCGTTACGCACATCAAAACCCATGTCGGGATGCTCCGGGATCGAACCTCGATCTATGCTTGTCTCATGTCCGCTGTAGGCTAACTCTACTCTTCCATAAGTTTGACGGCCGCTCTGACATGACTCTCTTTATCCACATCCTCACGAGCATCGACATCGTCATCAAAAGGCATCCCATCCGCCTCCGGAGCATCATCGTCGTCGTCACAATGACCAAACCTGCAAATGTCGCCGTCGTCGTCATTCTCCGCCTCATGATCATCATCACCATCACCATCACCATCACCATCATCATCATCATCAGCATCAGCATCATAGTCCCCACCTGCATGCCCAATGCCATGATTACTCTTGAAATCTTCACCGTCACCAATCAACACCCTTGCTGAGTGCCAATACAAAAGTGGCCATCAGTGGCGATCAGTAGAAGTAGCCGAAGCAGCAGTCGTCGTCGTCGTCGTCAGCTTGAGAATAGCTGTCGAAATCAAGAACGAACCGGCGACACCTCAGTGCTGAAGCCGCTGAGTTCAAGCCTGAACGCCTCTTCACGGGATTCCTGAAACTCTCAACTCTTGGCCTGCACAGAGTCGACACGCTGCCCTGCCTCGGGGTTGTCGCATAAGCTGCTCGGCCCATAGTCTACGTAGGCCAGCCTGCAGGGAGTGCCCCCTTTGTCACACGAAGACCTCCGCAACAAAGCACTCTGCCACAGGTAGTGGGTCCCTGAAGGTGCGAATAGGGTCCTCCAGCCATCATCGATCTCTTGCACCACGGACTTCCAAAAGGCCGGATCCTGGCAACTTGCAAAAAAGGGGTCTCTTCTAAATGCAGAGCTCAGGGATCGCTGTAGCTCCGTTTGCACCGGCTGCGGGTTTAGCATCTAGATTGCGAGTAAGGTTGGAATCGGCTTCATGCGTGTCTAGAAACCTTCTGATATAGGGCCCTAAACCCTACGCCCTAAACCCTAAACCCTACCCCGGCCAGCCTCCAGCACATCATGGCGAGTTAAACACCCGGAATCCGAAGAAAGATGCATTTGCACAGTATTCTTTGGTAGGGCATGGTTGTATGTACATATACATGTACGTACACATGCACAAATCTTATACGTGTTACATGTATATGTGTGTACATGTGTTTGTATATGCATGTGTAGAAGCCTATGTTCTGTATCATAACTCCATATACTAATCTGCTGCGTTCAAGCGTATGTATACGGCTGGGTATCTCAACCAACGGAGATGACAGAGATAAGCGGACAAGTCGACAAATACAGAGAGGCTTGGTGCTTTCAGATCCTGCAATGAAGAAAGTCGCACACATGCACAGGATTGCCGGTGTTGCTTCGCTCGACATGTCTCCAACGGTTCTCGGAGGCAGCAGCCAGCAGAGTAGCGCGTGGCGATGTCGGGGTGTTTTGGAGCCAAGCCACCGTGGCCCAAAGGATACACCGTCCTCCTAAGTCAACCCTACAACCCTCTCTTTAGAAAGGATAGAACGAAGTCTTGAGTCCTCATTTAGGCTCGCAAACACTTGAAGATGGGAAGCCTCAATCCGAACTTGTGAACGCGACGGTGTGTTGAAATTAGCGTGAGGGATCCCAGCAAACTCCCAAATTTCGGTGCGGAAAGCAATGACCCTCGCATTGACCTGCACACCACCCACCCCCCCACCCCATAGGCCTCCTGTAACTCTGGAGACACCTGGTGCGCCCCGCTCGCACGGGCGAGGGCTTACACGACAGGGAAGCTCCATGCTTTCACTGCTACGCAGATTGGCACCTGAACCTCTGTCCAAACTGACAAACATCACTATCCTGTAGTCCGCTCCCTGCTTCTCCCCGGAACAAGACGAGACAGCAGGAACCATGAAATCATTCCTGGCAGCCCACTGGCCTTTGTCAACGCCATGTGATGGTACTTGGTGGCGGCGAGCATAAAGGCTGCATCACCCCTGCCACACACCCGGCATCATGGTGGGGAAAGGGGTCCAATATCATGCCTTAAAGAAGAGTGCCTGTCACAGGGATGATGGTACCGGACATAACAGGCCATGACATGCAATGCCGCGAGATTTGCGTGAAATCATGCATGACAAGTTCAACAAACGCTTCTTCGCGACAATGAAGAGTAAGTACACAGCAAGACTAATCCTTAGCAATTCTAATGTGTGCAAACATGCGCACGCTCGGTTAAGATATGATACAGGGCACAGTCACGGTCGCGGTTGCCGTCGTGATAATTGTACCAGTCGTAATGGCCGCAGCAGTCGTAGTAGTCGTGATAGTCAACAATCGTAGCTGCAAAAGTCGCGGTCGTAAAACTCGTAGTAGTCGTAGTGGTCGTAACCATCATAACATACCTAATAATCTTTAGTAGTAGTAGTAGTAGTAGTAGCAGTAGTAGTAGTAGTAGTAGTACTAGTAGTCGTAGTGGTAGTGGTAGTGGTAGTGGTAGTGGTTGTGAGTGCACATACATGTGTCAGGGCATGTGCACCAGTCTCTGCAGAGCTGCTTGTAGCTTTGTTTGCATGTTTGAGTTTTAATTCGTTAGAACGCC